CCCCAGGAGCAGAGATTGTGGGTCTCATGTCTCGAATCCTTATGATTCATTCACATAAAATCCATTTATTTAGACTTTCCCACTGCATCCAACTGGAACAGACTGTGAATCCTGGCTTTGCTGCGTGACTCAGAGGGATGAAATGAAGGGTGTGAAGCTTGTTCACATAGTAATGCTGCTAAAATTAGAAAGGCCACAGTGGTTCTTTGTAGTTGGGAGACACATTTTCTTCCTGCCTGTAAATCTTTGTATGGAGCTGCTTGTGACTGTAATAGCCCCCTTGTGCAGGAGATTCTCCTTGGCAGCAGAACCTGCCTCCTGCTCTCATGGCAAAGCTCTGCACAGGAAGCTGCTACCCAACCTGCCAGTGATGTCAATACAAAAGCTGGGTTTGTATCCATGTAATTTTGAAAAATGGAGTTGGAAGGGAGAACAGGGAGAGAGCAAATAGTGGTGATTTCACAGGGTAATCTGAGATAAGTAGTCTTTCTGCCTTTGGGAATCACATAGGTTGGTCATCCTGGTGTTTTAGCAGTCATTCTTGTGCAACCAACCATTATTCATCACATCACAAGATTAAGCATCCTACAAATCAAACTAAATACTAAAATGTATTACTACTTTGTTATGGTTACCCTAAAACTGGCTGAAAAATTTGTTAAAATCTATGTAAAATAATTCTATAAGTCATCTCCTAGAGATCCTATAAAGTCTTAAGCACAAGTACAGGATGGGTGGAGATTGGATAGAGAGCAGCCCTAGGGATAAGGATTTGGGGGTAATGCTGGATGAAAAGCTGGACATGAGCCAGCAGTGTGCGCTGGCAGAAAGCCAACCGTATCCTGGGCTGTATCCAGAGAAGTGTGGCCAGCAGGTTGAGGGAGGGAATTCTCCCCCTCTACTCTGCTCTGGTGAGACCCCACCTGGGGTACTGCATCCAGCTGTGGGGCCCCCAACATCAGAAGGATATTGACCAGTTACAGTGAGTCCAGAGGAGGCCACAAAGATGCTCAGAGGGCTGGAGCACCTCTGCTATGGGGACAGGCTGAGAGAGTTGGGCTTGTTCAGCCTGGAGAAGAGGAGGCTCCGAGGAGACCTCATTACAGCTTTCCAGTATCTGAAGGGGGCCTACAAGGGTGCTGGGGGGGACTTTTTACAAGAGCCTGTAGTGATAGAACAAGGGGTTATGGGTACAAATTGAAATCAGGGAGGTTTAGATTAGATGTCAGGAAGAAATTCTTCACAGAGAGGGTGGTGAAGCACTGGAACAGGTTGCCCAGAGAAGCTGTGGATGCCCCATCCCTGGAAGTGTTCAAGGCCAGGCTGGATGAGGCTTTGAGCAACCTGGTCTAGTGGAAGGTGTCCCTGCCCATGGCAGGGGGGTTGGAAGTAGATGGGCTTTAAGGTCCCTTCCAACCCAAACCATTCCATGGTTCTGTGATGATTCTATGAAATAATTTTGGGTTTTTTTAATGTTTGAATACAGCATATTTTTTCTTCATACTTGTCTGAAACACTTTTTCATTGCCCCTACATCTTCAAAGCTGGTAGCCTTTTAAGAGGTTTTAAGAATTGGGAAGTCTGTTTTGTCAGTCTTTTGCGCCTTTCTAGGTAGTTTATTGCTGTCTGGTTTTCATAATTACAAGACAGCATTGCTCACAGATATTGAGAATTCACATGGCCATTCTTTTCCATTGAGTTTGTGTCGTGCTGTGATAAATGTCAAGGTGAAATATGAATCCACACAGCCAGGTGTAAGTTCTCTGGTTTTCCAGCTGTTCTGCCTAGGCTGTTCTCAACTCTCCAAGGATCTTGTTCCCTGTGTAACCTCACTATTTGTCAGCTGAGGGTGAAATAACATCTAATAATTTTGTTTTACTCTCATTTTTAACTTTCACAGAGTTTAAGGATAAGAGGATGGTCTGCACTGGGGAAGAAGGGGCAGGGGTGAGGTAGGAGAGGGCTGGTGCAGGGCTATTTTTGGATCTCATTAAGGCCTGACAACAGATGGCTTAATAAGGTAATTGCTTTAATAAAACAGAAGAATAAGAGGAGTTTATAATAGCTTGAATGACCAAAAGAGAGTTTTCTCTCCATGGACAAGATCTGCTCTGCACAGCATGCCATGGGAAAATCTATCGAGGCTCTGCTTGATGCTGCATGAATGTGGGGTGGCCATCATCTGAAGGGATGTAAGAGTTACTGTGTTCCTCATTTTGTTATGGATCTTTTAAAAGCAATTATCTTATTAAGACATTTGAGGTTGGGCCTTTCTTATTAAGATCCAGAAAGAGCCCTGCACTGTCTCTGTCTCTCTCTTACCTCACCCTTCCCACCTCTCCCTTGTGCAGGACACAGTAACACTACATCACCTACTTAAAACCCCTTTACTGTTGAAACTTTTCCTGACAGTCAGATATTCACTAGAAAATAACAGCAGTTGCTCTGAAATCTGCTTAGCTGGGTCTTAACAAGGCCCACTGATTTAACAGTGCTTATCTCTAGGAGATGCTGTTTAATGGTGCTCTTTGATAAACAGTGGAGTAAAAATATTTCAGCATTCTTACATGATGGAAATGTTACGAGCAGCCATGTTCCTGGCTTACCTCCATTTTAAAATAGTTGTTTATCTCTAGGATCTGACAACAGACACAGTGGCTACAGTGAACATTTTTTTTTTTGCTGACAATGCTATTCTCTAGCAGTGTAACTCATGAAGCAGTACTGCTTCGTTGATTAGTACGTGTATGCTTCTCTATCTCCCTGCTCACAGACCTGTCTTTTGAAATCCACCAGACTTCATGCTGCATTTTTATCATGCCTAAATCTCAAAATATGATCTTGGCTCCCCTCTTTTTTTTTTTTTTCCCCTATGCAAAACAAGAAGGATTTGCTGATTTTAGCATATTTTGATAAGAATTAAATGCATATTTTTAGCCAAGTTCTGATGTAAAAGCCCAACCCATGTATACTGTACACTGCTTACTAAGAGTCATCCTAGAGATTGCTTGTACTGGTACTTTTCTGATGTGATGTGAGAAGTTTAATATTTTTAATAAAACATATTTTACAGAATCTTGGTTTCCATCTTCATAACTCTTTAAGCAGAAAAAATAGAAATAAGATACATGATATTTAAACAAGTGTTTTATATATTCATCGTAAATGGAAGCAACCTTTATCTGTGAGTGTGAATTTACTAAGAACTTTGACAGTCTCTAATCCTTTGCAAACATATATTTGGAAACACATTCTGAATTCACAGAATACTTTTTTCCCCCCACTGTTAGGAATATACAAGTTAAGAGGCCAAATTTAAATGATTGGCAACTCATCATTGAAATTTATATAGAGATGTGAGAGAAGTCTCTAGTGTGCACTGAGAATATATTATGGAAAACATTGTATGGGTTGTCTCATATATGTACCATACAGCTATTTCAGGTGTATTGTGATTTCAAAGCTTTGATCATTGTATGATCAATAGATCATTCTGAAAATGTAATTAAAGCATTTTAAGATTGTATTTAATAACTTTAATGTTATGCTTGTGTTCCAGTTTTAGGTTGAGAAGTTAAAAAGGAATAAAACTGCTGTCATCTGAAACATGCATTATTTTAAAAAGTACCCAATACAGTACAATATGTGCCATTAAATGAATGTCATTAGCTCTTGCTAAATAATAAGTATTAACTGCTCTTTACTTTTAAATGTTTGTAGGCAAATTTAGCCTTGCAAGAAGGAAGACTTGCAGCTGCCCAAACAGAACTGAATAATGCACAAATTCAGCTGGATGAGAAGCAACTGGAACTGGATCAAGTACAAGCCATGTATGATGCTGCTATGAAAGAGAAGCAGGCCTTACTTGATGATGCTGAGGCATGCAGAAGGAAGATGAACAATGCCACGGCTCTGATTGAAGGATTAGGTGGAGAAAAGGTACTAGCACTTATGAGTAGGTTTCCAGCACAAAATTTTGAGAATACTCCATAATAATAATTGGAAGTGCTGAAGAAATTCAGGGCACGGTGACATCTCGATGTCACGTGACACTTTATTTTAGTTATATGTATGGCTTTTGCTTGAACTTAATGTATCTAATAAAGTAAAAAATTTCTTGTATTGACTTAATTCTTCTGTATGAAGATTTATGTCATATCATATGGCTCGTATTAGGATACAGTTCAGATTTAAAGCCAAGGAGCCAAATTCCTTTTAGCTTTAATAAGAAGAGGAATTAGGCTTAACCTAAATAATTGCCCTAAAATATTTATAAGAAGGATTACTCTATTTTCTCACCAAGTATACAAGAATAGCAATTAGAAGCTTAACTAATTTCCTGAATTATGTTTGAAGTTCAGATTTCTACTGGAGCCTTTTACAGAATTGTGGGCTAATTGTTATCTTCTGCACTGAGCTTGAAATTTACCTTTTTATGCAGATTTTTCTTGCTTTAGCCTGAAGGTTTCCAGAGGAAACAGGATACTCTTCTTTTTCATCTGATTATTTGCTTTCATAATTCCTTAGTTGATTTCACACAGAGTCAAAATTTACAAGGTTGAGAGCTTTGACTTCAACCATTGCATGCTGTGTTTGCATAGCCGCACTTCAAAGCACATCAGTCAAAAATCTTAGATGCTTTATTGTATTTTTCAGTGAATTTTTTAATTTAAGACCAACACCAAAATAGGAAGTTACAATGCCTTATTTTGGGTTTTCTGAAGCCCTGTGGTATGAGGTCTTGTAAGAGCTGTTACTCCATTCTACTTTTAAAAATTCAAACAAACCAAAAAAAAAAAAAAAAAAAGACTATATATGGCACTTGGAGCCTTGGGCAAAACAGGTGCTCGGTTAAATGTGTATTTTCTCAATTTAAAATACGTAGGTCCTGACCAAAATTGCATGCAATGTGATTGGAAGGAACAGAAATCTAGAGAGAAAGGCATAACTAAAACTCAAAAATAATAGTAAATCACAGAATCATGGTATAATTGAGTTTGGAAGGGACCTCTGGAGGTCATCTAACCCAACCCCTCTGGCTCAAAGCAAGGTCAGATAGAGCAGGTTGCTCAGGGCATTGTCCAGTTGGGTTTTGAATATCTCCAAAGGTGGAGACTCCTCAACCTCTCTTGGAAACCTATCCAGTCCTTGACCATTCTCACTGTAAAATTTATTTATGTCTTTAATTGGAATTTCCTGTATTTTGATTTGTGCCCATTTCCCCTTGTCCTTTCAGTCGGTACCACTGAAAAGAGTCTAGCACCCTCCCATCAGCAATTTCTCCCTGCACTGTCTGTTTTCCAGACTAAACAATCTCAATTCTCTCAGCCAAGCCTGTCGCCAATGTTTACATCCCTGACCAGTTCTGTCTTGTTTGCAAGTCTGAGGTTCAGCAAGCCACCTGCCTTCACTGGATCCTCAGTTACCTGTGTTAAGAATGTTTTGTCAGCATACTCCTCAAAACCTCCTGGACTGCTTGTGTCTTGCTGTGTTGTCCTTTCAGAAGATATCAGAGTGACTAAAGTCTTCCGTGTAGACCAGGGCCTGTGAATGCAAAGTTTCTTCCCACTGAAGAAAGACCTCATCTATTTCTTGCTCATTACGTCTGTAGCAGGCAGACACATCTCCCATGATATGTCTCTACTGGGTCTGCCCTCTAATCGTAACCAATAAGCTCACATCTGGCTCATTGTCCAACCCAGAGTCTCAGATGCAGAACTCCATGCATTCCAGCTGCTCTCTGACATGAAAGAAAGCTCCTTACCTTCCCAGCTTGTCCTTCCCAACAAGTCTGTATACACCTGTTGCATCACTCCAGTTGTGGAAGCCTTCCCACCATGTCCCCATGATGCCCGTAACACCATGTCCCCATGATTCTCATGACATCATGACTCTGCAACCACATGCACACCGCTCATTCCTCATTTGATCTCCATGCTGTGCACATTGGTATACAAGCACTTCAAAGAGGTGCTCAGCTGTGCTACTTTCCCAGAAACAGTATGAAAGCCATCCCATTGTTCTGTCTGGTAGGCACTTGTTTATGTGGATATGCTTGTGGAGGTCCTCCATCATCCCTGGTTTATAAATTGCAGGATCCCTACTGTTTGTATCACTCCACACATTTTGTTTGCCAACCCAGTCCTCCACTTCCTCATATGATTGTTGTTCGTCCTCTCCCTCCCACTTTGTTCCTCAGTTAAAGCACTTCTTACCAGTTTGGCCAGCTTGTTGGCAAAGATGCTTTTTCTCCACTTGGTCATATGGTTGCCATCTCTTCCAAGCAAACTGCTACTTCTGAAAAGAATGATTTAAAGCCAAAAAAACTCCCAATTCAAAGAACAATCGTTTACCAGAAAGAGATAAATTCTTAAGTTAGATCTTCATGTTAGTTGTGTCTCTGCTTAATCTAACTTCTTTATAATTCACATACAGCTTCGTTGGACGGCAAGCAGCAAAAACTTTCAAAATCAAATCACTAATTTAGTGGGGAATGTTCTTCTGGCTACTGGATTTCTCTCTTACTCTGGACCTTTCAATCAGGAGTACAGGAATTTGCTGCTCCAATTGTGGAAGAGAGAGATGGACAACAGCAAGATTCCATACAGTAATGTAAGTGTTTGCGCTCTGTGCTGACCTTACTCTTTGCCTTGCAGAGAAATAAAGTGCAGAGCATTCTGTTTCATAAGCACATAATTGGAAGATTATATACAGGCTGTCACCTTCCATCAAATTTTTAATAAATAAAAAAATCTATATCTATGTCTTCATAAATCTAAATTTAAGATCCTCTTTATACTGTCATGCATTGCAAGATTGGTATATAGGCCGTCGCTCTGGCAAATCTGAGAGAGAGATGCTGTCTGAGGTCAGCTGCCCTGGGAGGAAATTGCACAATATGGGAAACGAAATAAGATTTATCAGCTTAGAATAGTTTTAACTTATTGTAAGAGGTTCCATCACGTAGTCCCAGTTTTCCCTATATTTGATGGTTTTTGCAAATACCATGTTGAGTCCATAATTGCAGTCAGCAGGTCAAGCAAATCAGTAACATCTAGCGTTTACTGAAAGTGGAAAATGTGTGTGTTGAAGAAAACACCAGTTGTAACTGTCTCCCTCAACATTTTACATTTTCCCCTTACAAGGAATAACTTGTGAATATGTGTTTGAGAATACCACTCCACATCTTGTACTGCTGTGTCCCTATAGTTTTCCAGGCAGTCTTTGAAGCAGCAGGTCCCAAGTTTGGACCACAGGAGGGTGCAGAGGTGGGGAGATTGGTCTGTGGCATCTGAGTTGGGTGGGAGTTACGCCTCAACCAACTTCTGGGCACCCAGCAAGGTTTACCCTATTCACACTTTTACCACCTATAGGCTCATGTGGTGCCACTAGAATTCTGCTCTCTCTCTAGATATCTATTTTTCACTCTGAACTGTAAATCTAGAATATAAAGGGTGACTTTGAATGAAAGGTTTTAATGTATTTTGTATTTCGGACATACTGCATCAAAAATTCTTTAACCTATTGTTCTTAATAATTAGAATTTTTACACAACAAACTAGGAATAAAAAAATCCATTATTTTCATTTAGGATTACTGAAGTACAATATTCTAATAATCTGGATTGACTAGAAAATATCTGTGAGATGGAACAGTTTTTCCTTTTTTAAGCTTCACACTTTTATTCTTAGTGTACCTTGATTAATTCTTGATTGACATAAAAATACTCTTACACTCAGTTATAGAAAAGACCACTGCACAATTTGAACCAGGAAATATCTCCTCTGCACCTCTGTGTATTATCAATCAGTGCCCTCCTGTCATACCCTCTCCTGTGTACCCACACCATTTAATTTAGTTTCATTTGAAGTGTCTTGTTGAAACGATTAAGTTAAACAAAAGCTGGGTTTTGTAAAGCTTGGTGTACACCACTTCATCTCAGCTATTAAATCCATTACATTTGTCACCGGCGGGGCTGTTCTCAGTGAGTCTGACACCGCAGCTTCTCCTCAACCGGCTGACGTCTGTGCGGGCAGAGGTGGCTTGAAGTGCAGTGAGGCCGGGGTCCCATCGTGCAGCTTCAGTTCCCTGCCACATCATATGCTACTTTTATTAAAGTGAGCCACCCGCACGCTGGGACTCTGATGGAGAACAGCTTCCCTTACTTGAATCTTGTTTTTCCTTTTCCTACTCAGGACTTCCATGCCTGGTAGCCATTCGGGTGCATAGGCTTTGCATGTGGCCAGCAGCAGCCTTGTCCATATTCCGTGACTTTTAGGAGGTCTGTCTAATATTCTTCCCTGCACCTGAAAGATATATTCATGCTGAAGGCAGAATATAGGCCATAATAATAAACAGTCTTTCTGAGTAATCTGTCCCTGTTGTCTTCTGTTTGGTTTTGTGAACACTTGGGTTTATTTTCTCCAGCAGTAAAGGTTGGACAAACAGTTCAGGGAGTCTCTCTTCCTTTCAGTACAGGAGAGGAAACATTAAGCTCAAATGAATCCTGTCCTCAGCTGTCAAAGCTGTTGACAAAGCAGGTGCTGCTGGGAAGTGCTGGGAGCAAGTGAGCAACCTGTGTACAGCTGTGGCTGTACCGCTGTGAAACAGTTGAAGGTACATTAGTACCCCTGCTGCACCTCTTTTCAGGTCTTGGGGGGATTTGGCAGTTAAAACCTCTATTTGTCTAGTTAAAACCTCTTCTGTTTGTCTCACAGAAGTTACTTGTGAATCTTCGTGGTTTTTTGTTGTTGTTACATGAGGTGGTGCATAATGCTTCTGGTAACAATGCTTAACCTTGGCCTGACAGAGCGTACCCCTCAGCCCAGCCCAATTTGTGCTGTGACTTACAAAGATGAATGATTGTGGCTTGCCCAGAAAAGCTCTTGAAAGTTTCTGATGGTAAGTAATGTGTAGGGCCAAGATGGATTTATTATGAAGTACCAGTACCAGTGCAGTCTCAGGCAAGAGTCTTTACCAGTGTGGAGTTATCCTACAAACATTCATCTCAGGGAGGCTTTTTCTTAAATTCAGTGTACAAAATGTTCTTAAAGGCTACTTACCTTGGGGAATAAGGACAAGGACTTGGATGTATAATGTCCTTAGAAAGCAAGACATATAGAACTAGAATTCTGCCTCTATGAAGATGTTTTGACCACACTATGAGTCAGCTGCATCCTTCAAAATTTGAGGATTACTTTTTGATTTTTTTGTTGGGTTTTTTTTTTGTGTTGTTTTTTTCTTTTTTATATGGTCAGGTTAGACACAGAATGTCATAATTAACATGTTTTAAACCATAATTACCATTCTGTTTAGACAGTTGCTGTTAAAGACAGGATTATGATTTCGGTGATAGTGTATGGAAGAGTGTTTTATTTTCTTCCAGTGAATTAAGTACTCACAAAAGGCAGCATATGGGCTTCTCTTCATACTTCTCACCACAGGAAAGAAAGCAGCTTTGCAGTTCAAGCAAAAGGCTTGACATCTGCCTTACTTTGTCACAGACTAACTGGCTGTGGGTGTATGAGTCATTTAGGCGAAACAATTTAGAGAGCGCTGTTTAAAATTAGCTATCTATCTGTGTATTTAGGCACTTAAATTAGCTAAGTTTCAGAGCTGCGGGGTGACTGATACTTCCTGCTTCAGTAAGAAAAAATTTAAAGCTGTTTAGATTTTACTCATCTGCTTAAGGAGCTAAATACAGTTTTATGTTCCAATTGCTGAAAATTTTGGCTAGTAAAGGCTTTACTGTCCTTTTCACAAATGGAAATTGAATTCTTAAACTTTCTTTGTCTTCTGAGAATGGTTAGTGTTGCTTCATTCAGATTCTTCAATTATCAGAGTAGTAAAATAAATCAAAGGGATAAAAAAGTTTTTGAGTCTGCAACCACTGGTATCACTAACTCTCCTGATTGTACCACAAGTCTCACAGTATTTTAAATTTTGCTTTAGGCTTCTAATGCTAAATTATGTGATTTTTGCAGGAGTCACAGGCTTTTTCTTTCTTTTTAAACATGTTGTTTGTAGAGAAAGTTTAAAAACAGGAATTCTTGAGTGGAAACAATATGAGAGACATAAAAACCCCCTACCCCTTCAGTTTTATTCTTTTTAAACTCACATCATTATTAAGTTACTTTTCTAATTTGGAGAATTTGGTTTGTGATTTTAATCACTGTTTTCTTCACATACACATTCGTTAGGGGCCAGTCACTGTTCATAGTGAATAAAACAGAGCAGGTTAATCAATGTTTGCAAATCAAACTTTAGGAGAATATGAGCTGGGAAAAGTTCTTACCATAGCAACAATAACTTTCCTGTTATTCATGGTTACTGATCCATAGCACATCTCCTCTTTCTTCTCCGAGGCTCCCACAAGCCATCCTGTATTCATATACATACATGGAGGGCACTTTACAATTTTGCAGGAAGTTCCTGTGACCGAGACAATGTTTCCTCTTGATCTAGGAAAGAAAAGGGTTTGCCAATAACAAAATCAGCTTGTCGTTTGATACTGAACTGCTGTCAGAGTTTCTCTGACACTCTTTGGTGGACATCGAAGCCTCAACAACATTCACTTTCATTAATGCCCAATATCTGTGATTTAAGCGCTGAACTTTAAAGAAAGATAACAAAAACCAATAACTACCAAATACATTCTATCATGTGTTATGATCAGAATAAGAAGAGAAACCTTCCATCAAACATGTTAGTATAACTCCTCTAACTGGTGCTAATTTTGTAATTACATATTTTCCATTAGGACCTGAACCTTACTGGTATGCTTGTTGACAATGCTACAGTGGATGAGTGGAACCTCCAGGGTCTTCCAAACGATGACCTTTCAATTCAGAATGGCATCATTGTCACAAAAGCATCAAGATATCCTTTGCTGATTGATCCACAAGGTCAAGGAAAGATCTGGATTAAAAATAAGGAAAAGAATAATGGACTTCAGGTAAATAGTTCATTAAATGTCTCTTGTGTGTGTCATCTCGCAGGATGAAAATGCAGTCAGTTATGGGCTTTAAGACCTCCTGACTCAGGTGTCAGCTGTATTAGAAGAATCTGTGTTCTCCCCTTGTAAGATCCAGGAGGAACACCTGGTTATATAAATACCCAAGTGTTTAGATTATGTCTTTACATCTGGGATATTGTAGTTAGCTATGGTCTTGTTACAGTTATATTGTTAGTCACTAAGGCACTAACTTAATCCTGCAGTTTCGTTTGGACTAAAAATGTAGGCAACATGCTATTTTGGTGGGTACACATATGTTTACATTACAGCAAAGCTAAAAGTGTAGAGTCGTGGAATGTAGTATTAATTTTTAAATAATATACTGTTTTAAGACTGTGTAATGTGCCTCTAGATATATTAATTATGCCTTTTTCAAAGACCAGTGCCTGCAAGACAAGGATTTCTTTTAAAAACCTGTCTGTCTTACGTTTTTTCCTGGTAAAAAACCCACCCCAAAACCATGGCTTAACAGATCCCTGGAAAGGCTATTCAATTATTATCTCAACGGCTTATGTTAGATTTATTACACTTAAATAAATGAAAAAGAATATGTATGATTTTTAGCAATTTTAAGACTTTATATTGTGAAATGGGAACTGAATTGGGAGTTCAACATCTGCTGTGAGACCAGGCCTCCTATGTAACTATGGTTCCCTGTCTGAACCCTATGAATATTTCCCTATTTCACATTAGTGTTCTGAGCATAAATCCATTATTATTTAAATGGTATTAAGATACTACAGTGATTAGTTAGATATGTAGATACATGAATAAACAAATAACAATAAAGAAGGGTGATCTCCTATTCTGTTAGGCTTAAAGCAAAACTTCCGTTCATTTCAGCAGAGGTGAGTGTTGGTCTCTAAAATGTAACTATTTGTGTAGATATCCCAGGATGAGTATAATTTTTGAAAGTTGCCGTAGATTTTATACTGTTTTCTGTGTGCTTGCAAGTGGATGTTACATTGTGAACCAACCTTCCTAGGTTACAGCTATGAACCACAAGTTCTTCAGAAGTCACATAGAAGACTGCCTGTCCTATGGCCGACCTTTGTTAATTGAGGATATTGGAGAGGAACTTGATCCTGCTCTAGATAACATCTTGGAAAAAAATTTAATAAAATCTGGTTCAGCACACAAAGTAAGATGAATTGCAAACATGAAATTAAAAGCCAATAGGACAGATGCTGAGTATCTGGTAGTTTGGATAGTTTGGATACTCCCAAAATTCACACCTTTGTAACACTTAGAAAGATGAGCAGTGAACTCATGGGATTATTTTTTACCCTTTAAGCAGAAAGTTTAAAGAGTGTAAATGAAAATGTAAATAAAAGAGTTAATCTGTTTTTCACTGGATAAAATAACTGTTCTTCTGAATTCAGCTTTTGAAAACTGAGTAATACCTTTTATTTTCAGGTGAAAGTAGGTGACAAGGAAATAGAACTGATGAAGGGGTTTACCCTATATATCACAACAAAATTGGCTAATCCTGCCTATGCTCCAGAAATAAGTGCAAGAACAACTGTGATTGACTTTACTGTTACTATGAAAGGGCTAGAAGATCAGCTCCTTGGCCGTGTCATCCTCACAGAAAAAAAGGTATCTAGTAGACTTCAATATCTATACAGAGGGAAGGCTTGTTCAGTATCTGCACCATGAATGGATATATATTCAGTGTCTTGGCTGAAGTCAAATGCAAGAACAAAAATGTGAATGAAAGTTTAGGGCTTTGTGCATTTGCTGAAAGACAGTGTGGAGCTGGTCTTTAATTGGGTGGTGGGACCTAAACATTTATTGTAAGATCTTGCCTTGGAAAGAGAAGAAAGAAAATTACTCATTAAAAATACATCACAGGGATATACATGGCAATCATAAAGCAGTTTTCTTCCTTCATATATAGCAAAGGCTCCTTGTTCAGTCAGAAACCTCTTTTATTTCTGAATTTCCTTTTGAACTTAATTTGAATTACATGAAAAAATGCTTATGAACTCTAACTACTTTTGCCAGCCAGGCTCTGGTGTGCAAGGAGATACGGGATTTTTAAGGACCACTGAACACTGACTTGACTCTGCTCTTGCTAAAATTTCCATTGATTATGTGGGAGCAAATATTAAGAAGAAAATCCTCTCTGGTGTTTTTCACGAGTTTTATTTCATAATATAAAATCTGAGACATCCTCCACAATAATTTAATTCTTAGATAGTTCCTATTTCTATTTGCGTGATCTAATTTAACAACCTCGTTATCCAAAAACTCAGAAACTTAGGAGGCAATTCATCATAGGCACTGGAGACAAATGTGGGTTTTTTACTGTCATACCAATAAATACATGAACGTTATGGTCCAATTACACTAAAATGAAATATTTCCTTCCTTTCTCATTAAAGTGAAAGAACAGAAGTTGTATTTCCCATCAAATTGAATGACTTATTTATTTCAAATATAGCATTTTATAATTGTGTCTTTGTGAGAAAAGTAAAAAAACCCCAAACAATTAAGGTTTGGACTAGCAGAGCTGCTGCTCTCAGTCAGTTACTCAGGTAGGGTTGCTTATGTGAGAGCCGTTCCCTACAGAAGGGAATTAATTCCTCCTTTGTCTTCCCCAAACATGTTCTAACCAGTGTGTTTTAGTGGTGCTGTCACTTTCTCCGGCCAACACCTTTCCACTTCGCTCAAACGAGCATTCGCAAAAGTAAGGACTGGAATTTGACTGCCCTTCCTTCAGTCTGACAGTCACAAGCAGAGGCTAGGAGGTCACTGTTGTACCCAAACTTCCTGTGATTTGTTCGATGAAAAATGGAGAAGCTACAGTGCAGGTACTGGGGAAAAGCTATCCATTAGCAGGGTGGGACGTGTTGAAACTTTACTCCAGTACATGTATGTTAAATTGAACAGCAACAGCAGGAGTGGATGGGACTATCCTGACTGACTTACCTCTGGTGGGAGACAGAGGTTTAACTCAAGATAGATGTGAAATTGGTTTCTCATGACCTACATATAAAACTCATCTCCCCACACACGGATACCCTCACCCTGTGTCTTTTTTCCTTGAACAAAACTGTTAGAGATTTCAGACTGAATGTATGTAGCAACACCTAGTCTGCATTTTGGGTCAAAAATACAGTCACCGAAAAATAACCATCCAGTGCTGTATATCAGCTGAAGAGAGCTCCATGGGTAGCTGGTTAGTATCAGCCCTAGTTGCTGCACAGGGACGTGGTTGCAGGTGACCAGGATTTATTAAACAACTTCTCATTAGCAGATATGAAGAAATCATGGTTGTTCTGTCTCAGTAAAGAGGAATGTCCTAGTGCAGCTAGCCAGATGCAGAGTTTTGCTAAACTTAGTTCAAAGAAAATACAGAACATGAACAGAGAATTTGAAGAACAGGTTTTCTGTTACAAACAAGAAGACAAGTTTATGATCCCTGAGCTAAAGTAATAGGTTACAGGAACTAAGACACTCTTACAGATTGCTACAGTGATCAATGAAATATATGATCAAAGTAGTGTTTATCCTTCCCAACTTTAAAGGTTACTCCTGTAACTATATGGGAAAAAAATGTTGTCATCATCTTTTTGTACTTGGAGAGTGAAACTGCTGCCACTATTTGTGTTCAGAACAGCTATTTGTTTTTATGTTGCAAATGCCGTCATGGAATCCCCTTGCAAACAAAAGTCTGGCATCTGGCATATTTGCTAATTTTCTGAAAGATACTTTTTACAGGCTTACAAATAGAAAGGGTGAGGAGCCTGTTCTTAAACAAATCATATCCTTAAGTAGAATTTAAGCATGTACTTAAATGCATGTTTGTTCTGTAGAGCTACTCCTTCTGTGTAATTCTAATCTTTATTGCATTAATGGTAAAGAAAGAGGTGAAAATGCAGAAAATCTGAAGCTGAATGACTGATGCTTAAGTCATTCCCATCTTCTGGGATGCAGTTATTTGTAGCTTCCACACAGCTACATTCTGTAGCCCTAGAATATATTACAAACAGGTTTCCAAATAAGAAGTTTGTGAGAGTAAAGAAATTTGTCACTTCTTTGAGTACAGGAGCCTCTCCTGTTCTACATAACTCTGTACATCTTCCTTTTCTCTAGCTTGGCATGTTGACAAGAATGAAAATAAACTGAAGCCATAAGTGTAGATAGATGGGTATTATTAACTGCTCTTTTCTTACAGGAAAGGTGACTTTATTAAATAAAGGTAGCCGGTGAGGGTATTCCTGAGCTGTGTTGGTCTGTGCAGTATTGGCTTGTTGTGTTGGCTTGGCGTTGTGTTGACTTGTCTGTCATTGTACCCTTGCTGTTGTCTGTCTTGTAGCAATAGCATAAAAATGCCATATGACAGATAATAATTGTACCGTTTCCTTTTTTATAAGCAGCAGGAGTGTATCTTGCAAAGCCACAGAATCGTAGAAATTAGAAATCGAAAAGGTCATTCAGTCAACTTCCCTAACAATGTAAAATCCATCCATGCAATACATCTCAGTCCTTTGTCTGATTTAATTTTAAGTACTTAATGTAGCATGGCTTTTAGCACTTCCCGTTGGAAACTAGCTTTAGTCTGCATCTTACTGTATGGAAGTTTTTCCTGGTAATTCTGATGTGTTTTCACACCTCAGTATGCTGCATCAATCAAATAAATACAGTATACATATAAATTACGTTAGCACATAATATTTATGTGTTTTGTAGAAAAAGCAGCAAAACCCCCAAACTATCCTGCACAAAATTATGTTTTCTGTGTCATTATAAGGGATCTTTCTTTGAATTAATCTTAAATATTCTAAGGAAAATTTCTGAATACAGGAACTGGAGGCAGAAAGAGTCAAACTGATGGAAGAAGTGACATCTAACAAGAGGAAAATGCAGGAGCTTGAAGATAATCTACTCTTCCGTCTAACCAGTACGGAGGGCTCTTTGGTTGAAGATGAGTCTCTAATAGAAGTCCTAAGAATCACGAAAACAACAGCAGAAGAGGTGAATTTTGAATGCATTACAGATACATTCTGTAATTGTAATTTAAAGATTATTTAAACACATATTTTTCTGCTTTTGGGTTGGGTTTTTTCCATTCAGAGCTACTGTATAACACCTGACTTCTTAACAAATAAATAGTAGAAACACTATCATTTTTTCTTCATAAATTGTTGCAAAATTAAACTATCACCTGGATACTGCTTTATATTCCAGGCATGCTTTTGCAGGTGTAAGTTTAAATCAGATCCCATTGTGCTTGGTGTTAAAACACATGAAGACACAATGTCTGTGCTAAAACACTGACAGAGGGAAGCAAAGCTTAACTAAAAATACCATTGTGATCTTAATCAAGACCTTTTCTTTTTGCTTGTGCAGTATAAATCACAAGTGACATGACTTAATCTTTGTGGTCTTTTCCATTAATTTTAAGGTCAGTGAAAAATTAAACATAGCAGCAGAGACAGAGGTGAAAATCAATACTGCACGTGAAGAGTATCGTCCCGTTGCTGGTCGAGGCAGCATCCTGTATTTCCTAATTGTGGAAATGAGCTTGGTTAATGTCATGTACCAAACATCCTTACGACAGTTCCTTGGCATTTTTGACCTGTCAGTGGAAAGATCTCAGAAATCTCAGATCACAGCAAAACGAGTAGTATATGTAGTTGAGCATCTCACCTATGAAGTTTTCAAGTACACGGTTCGAGGGCTGTATGAAAATCACAGATTCCTGTTTACATTGCTTCTGGCACTGAAGATTGACTTGCAGGCCAAGAAAATTTCACACACTGAGTTCGAGACACTGATCAAAGGTAATTTCTCTAAAAATATTCCTGTTTACATATGTCTGTGAACTGCTAAATTCTGATTTTGCAGTTCTTGCACAAACGATATGTGGTAACCAGTGGATCTAATGTTTTTTTAACTGGTGAATGAAAGCATATATAGCCCAAGAAGAATATTAAGAGGCAAATTTTCCAAAACAAGACCAATATAAAATATTTATTATCAAAATAATGCTTAAATGAGGATATTTAACTGTTTTTCACCGGGGGAAAATAGTCCATTTCTTTGTAAGAGACCATATAGTTTTCCCCTGTGGGCCTCTTTGATTTGCCACATACCGATGTCTGTGAGCTTGAAGACAGTTAGTAAAATCTCTTTTGATGGCTGGTGAGCAGGCATGTGGATGCGCAAAGACTCTGTACCACATGCAAGTGACACTATAAAAGAAGTGGGAATCTGTTACATGTTGTAAAACATTGTTATATTGCATTAGATTATGCCACCACTGCATGTCAGTACTCAGACACAATCAAGGAGAGAAATTTTAGTAAAGTTTATAAAGTTTGATGGAATCAGACCCCACCATCTCCAAGATATGATAAATACAATCAGGTAAGTGATAAGACAAGTACAGTCAGGTACTTGCCATCCAAATACCTCAGTTTGCTTTGCAAACACTGATTTAATGTTCAGCTGTGACTGAGCATGACATCATGCGAATGGACATGACGCTGAAGTGGTGGTTGAGCCAAGAGGCTGTTGAAGTTGCACAGTCCTGGGAATGAATGCACCATGTGCTTTCTTATTCTGTAGCCCAGGTGAAGGGAGATTGGACTAACCATAGGTCCTTTCTACATCTGGTCTGAAGACTTGGGTTTAAGTATCATTTTAGGTAGGCAAGTTTTATTCCAGCTCTACAGGTGGAGGAAAAGGAGCACAGAAAACTACTGGGGTATCAGTTTTGGGAGGTATTGAGACCACTGCCCCAAAAGATCTTTGTTAAATGACTCTTCCATGCAAATTCTAGGTCTCTGTATCCTGGCTTACTGTTGTGGTTTAGCCCTAGTAAGCAAACAATATTCTTCTCAGCACAAATCCAATGCATAACCTCATACCAGCTACTATGAAGAAATTGACTCCCAACTAAAAAAAGCACATTCACAAAGATTTTTTACTCCCTAAATTATAGAAATATTTTTTATTACTTGTCATTTTTCTGTTTGACAATGTCTGATTTTCTCTATAATGCTTTTCACTTTGCAGGAGGTGCCAGTTTGGATCTGAATTCTGTGGAACCAAAACCAAAAAAGTGGATCCTTGACATGACATGGCTCAATCTTGTGCAGTTATCTAGCTTGCACCCTTTTAATCAACTTCTGGTGCAAGTTGTTAGGAACGAGAAGTCTTGGAAGGCTTGGTTTGATGAAGAAACACCTGAAAAAGCTGTTATCCCTAATGGGTATGACAGCTTACTGGATCAATTCCATAAACTGCTCCTTGTCCGTAGCTGGTGCCCTGATCATACTGTTGCCCAAGTAAGATATGTTTTCATGCAATGGTTATGCCATATGGCATCTCCTGTAGAATTGCTAGTTCCAATCTTATGTTCTCTGAATTTGTTTTTATTGTAATACTTGTTGCAGAGTGAGCTATTTTGAAAATCAGATATTGAAATTTTTATAATAAAAATATTCTACAAAATATTAATTTATTTAATTCCAATTAGTTATAAATAGTATTGCAAAATATGAAATAAATTGTGTTAGAGCTGTAAGAATATCACTGGTTTTGTGCGGCACTTCTAAAGTGGAATCGTGAAACTTGTAAAGCAGCTGCATTGTTCTGCTGAATCAGAAGATACATCCTTACATTTTCACAGAAGAAGTGGAAGGAGGACATTTCGCTTTGATGAGAAATACACTAAAATAGCAGATAAACTATTTACTTTCCTCCATGCTGAGGAAGTAATAATTAAGACTGTCTCATGGCAGGTATCATAAAAGAAACTGCAATAGGCTAGCGGATTTTTCTTCTCTATGTAGGTCTAAAAGAGATGTATGAGCCTTTGAGTATCCTCTTTTCACTTTTTTTTTTTTGCTTTAGCTACACTGTAAAGTAGTACTTCTGATTTCCTGCACAGCTCAACTTTACATGTTACGTGTTTTGACAGCATGCTGTGCTGTGCTGTTTAGGGGACACCATTTTTTTCATGAACCTCTTTTTCAAAAGGACCCCCTCCTTCCTCTTTCCTTTTCTTCTCCTCAGCTGGTAAGGGAGAGAGAATTATGGGAGCCCCATCTGCCTCAGTTTAAGCAGACCAAAATAATAAAGCTGCTACTGCTCATTGAACAACACTTATTGTCTTGCAAAACGACCTTTGACAAAGAATGTCTCTGAACAGTGGTTTCAAAAACTGTAATTATTTTAATTTTTTGAGGGAAGAGGGGATGATTTTTGTTATTATCTTTTTTCCCTACTGTGTTTTTTCAAGTGTTATAAAATTTTACCCCTCTTCACTAGGGCAGAAGTTACACTTAATAGTGGATGATTGAGGGTTTTTTTTTTTTTCTGAAATTGGCATTTTCCTCAGCCCACCTTGATCCTGGATGTTCCTCTCCGTAATACACGTCTCAGAATCTGTGCTAGTAGTTTACGCAGTTGGAAAATCACATCAGTCAAAAAAGCGTTTCATACGCCAGGATAGCTTTAGAAGTCCTTTTTGAAAATGTCTGTGAAGAGGACAATAGGGGCATAGGGAAGGTTTGACCTTCAAGGGCAAAGTCTGAGCTGTGTTTATGTTTTATAGAAATAGATATTCAGCTAAGAGACTTGAATTGGATAACCACTGGACAGGAGATTTTGTTTGAAGTTCCAACAAATATATGGAAGATTGTAACTGGGTCAGATGAAAGATGTCTAATCTGCTATGCTGTAGAGACAGTGTCAACAATACATGCTTAGAGGAGCTAAGAATGGGGCTGGCATAGAGAAACTCTTTTGTTTGGCTGTCCACCAAGCTTTAGAGTCAGCAATTTAGGGCCAATTTCTGGGCTGCCCTCAGATCCAACAGTGGATCTATTCTGCATGGATTTCTTTAGTTCTTTTTAAAAAAACATTTAGCATCCTCTAGCAACAATGTTCACAGGGCAGCTGTTGTGTGAGCAGAATTCTTTCTTTTCTTAGCTTGAAGCTTGCTATCTGGGAATTTCAATGGTTGCCTCCTGTAGACCGTAACTTTTGATACACCGAAGTTGAAAATAAAAGTCGTTTAGAAAGTCATTGCCTTTCAATGTAGGTATTGGTAAATTCCATCTCTGTCATTAATGCTAAATAAAAAAAGTTAAAAAGTATATATTTCTGGTAACGTGTTTTTTAGGCTCGACACTACATTGCAGAATCTCTTGGAGGAAGATATGCGGAGGGATTTATACTTGAAATGGAAGCAATGTGGGCAGAAAGCGACTGTCGAACACCTTTGACGTGCTTTTTATCAGTGGGGTCTGACCCCACTGAAAATATAGAACGTCTTGCAAAATCAAAGGTATCCTCCTAAACTGAGTTTGCTAGAGCTGATAAAGACATTTAAAACTATCCTTTGAACTAGAAATGGTATTTCCACATTTTATAGATGTTGGAATGATGATATTTATATTCATACCAGTGTTCTCTGGAAGTTAAATTTGGACCAGAAGCCAAAGCACATTTACTGAGGAAATGGAAATGTTACATTCTTGCTTTTTACAGTTGTTTAATTCCAAGGACCCCTCTGTCTTTATCTAGCAGACTATAATAGTCCATTACTTAGTGAAAGTACTTAGCTATTACAACAATGTGATATTTGTGGTCTACACTGTATCGCATTCACTGCAGGAACTGACAGTATTGACGATTACGAGCAGATACAGGAAAAAATCATAAATATGGTGACAAGAGAAATTAATTTGGAGACCCTACCATTCAGTCAGTTCACAATGGAGACATTCAACATTTCTTACAGCACAGCATCACTTTCAGGCATTCTGTGCGTCATGTTTTACAGTTCACAATGTAGATGCAAGTATAACTTTCCCAAGAAGAAGTTATTCACAGTAGATGTCCATAAATTTTCCTCCCTGTTAGAATATGTCTTCATTTAGAGGTGCAGGATTTTGGTATGCACTAAGTAAGACTTTCAAAAGTCTTGGGGGAGCACCCACAAATGTCTTTAACTTATTAATTAGAAAGTTTAGGTGCTCATTTTCTTTGAAAATTGAGACTATTTCATTTTATTTGTCTGATTGTGATACAGAGTGCTTGAATTATGCCCTAACTCTCACTTGGGTGTTTAAACTTAGTAATCTTAAGTCTCAGGTTGTTGATGTGATCCTTATCCCCAAAAACTGTGCAGCCAGAGGGAAGAGGTAGAAGAACGGCCGTTGGGTGAGCAGGATTTTTAGGTTTATTGGAAGCAATGCATTGGAAGAACATTTTTATTCCTCTTCACAAAATATTCTATTGCCTTTTCCTAAGGTATGAAAGACATTTTGATTTTGTAGAAGATTTGAAATTAACTGCAAGAATATTTATAGACTAGAAATGGGCAATTTTTTTTAGTCCCTTTTCAAGTCCAAGTAAACACATTAGGTATTTGTGATTGGATTCCTATTTTCATGGCCTATAGTATGAATACAAATGGAGTGTCAGCTTTGTGATGATGTTTTCATTCTCCTATTCATCTCTTCAACATGTGTATCCTGTGAAATGGACTCCTAGATATGTACTTACCCTGTCTCTAGTAGGAGATAGTTTCTGTAATCAATAAAGAGAAAGAGAGAGCACACAATTGAAACTTAACTCTGATTTGCTTCGAGGAACTGAGTATTTCTATCCTATCCCGTTGCCCATCTGAGGGGATGAGGGACACTAACCTCCTAATGGAGTCACTTGAAATCAGCTGGTCACTTAGAGTCACCCTTTCAAGGAGTGGAACAAAATGCTACCCCCTTCTGTTAAATCTTAAGCAAGACCTTATCGTGTCTGGGCAAGTGCTGGTAGGTTGAAGGCGCCCTGTAATTGTGACTGTTACAAGACGTCAGTTTTTGCTGTCATTCAGGAAGTATATTGCAGTGGTCAATTTCAATATGTTTTCATGCTTTAAGAAACATGTACAGAATAATAGAAAGTGAGGTTGCAAAAGAGCTAAAGAGATTGCCTTGTTCATTCACACCTGCCTGATGAACAAGGCAACATCAGGTGAGCTGTCATAACCAGCAGTTCAACGGTAGTGTCAGCTGCAAATCTAAAGTTAACTGTAATGTTTACCATACAGCATATAGAAACTTTTCAAATTTGCAAAAGCCATCCAAATTCTGCAAATCCAAGTACAAACACAGATCTTTTTTTAAGTAAAAACATATCTTAACATGGTGGGAATGGAGGAGCGCTTCAGTAGTGCTCTAGCTTTTGAAAAATGTGTCTAGAAATCGTTTACAGTTTTCATAAACATTTGCAAGGGGCTTGGTGTTGACTTTACTAGTTTGTCAACAGATTGTACTTAGTTCCTGTCTTTCTCTGGGCTTTCTCTGCTTTTTTTTTTTTTTCCCCAGAATAAAGCTTTGGCTTAACATGTTAGCTGCTCCAAGGATATATATGGATTTATGTAGTTCTAGACCTCCAAAGTATCCTATTTATTGTTCTTTTTTTTCTCCTTAATGATAGAAAACTTCAAAAATATATGCTGAGCCTGTTTCTCAGTGATTTCCCTTTTACAGGCATGCTTTCTAGTCTTAAAATGGATTGACAGTACTGATGGTATGCCTAAGTATGATATTCACAATATAAATCAATTATATACAGTTGGAAATATTTGAATTTGCGACCGGAATTTATTTTTCACTCTAAAATTTAGGGGTTTAGGTGGCCTTCTCCCAAAGAAATGAAAACAGTATCTGTGACTACTAAGCTATATAACCTTGCTTATAAACAAAGCAAGTTCTATCTAAAAACTAGTTGGATTTCTGCCGCCTTTACTTCCACGTGAAGATGGAGTGAAAATTTAACATTTTGAATTAAAATGAAGTTCATTATGCCTAGCACTTTGACTTCATTAAAACCAGATATTTTTATTATTTTAGAGATAGTTTCTTCTTTCAGGGAGTGATGCAGAGAACCTTCAACAGAAATGTCAGAGCCACTGTAGTGACTAAAATGATGGTATTTTCATCTGGATAGTGATGTATTAAGATGACAAAGATATATTGGTATGAGTCACTATTGAAAGAAACATTCCGTATGCAGACATTTTGATAGAGTTCTTTCAGAAGAAGTAAAATGAGGACAATCCACTGTGAAAAATATTTTTTCCTTGTCTTGATGTTTCTGTAACCTTTAATGGTTATACATTTGCGAGGTAACATTGCTGAGAAGAGCAAATTATGAGCAGATGCTTTGTTAGGGAATAATGTACCAGCTGAATATTTATGCACTCTGCAGGGGTAGTCATAGTCCTTGACTTACAGGAGTTCTAGCTGTACTCAGATATATCTTAGAAAAGGTGAAGTGTTTGCTCCTCCAGCACATAGCCAACTTCACAGGCTATTTAGCTTTGCTTCTTTTAGCTGCAATTTCAGGTTTTACTGACCTGAGAGCAAGATTTAACTACTTTCTTATCTTTGGCATTCTTTTCTCCTTAAATCTTTTGCCACGATGTGGAGGATCATATACAGTAGCTGTATTTATACTGTTCAGTAAAATCAGTTCAGGGTCTGTTTTCTGACTCTCAGACCAAATGACCCAGCACAGCTTGTGTCAATACACTTAACCTTTTTCTCCTGCAAAAGTAGAGCGGCCTCATCCACGCTGTTTAGGACTGGATGACTTTCTTCTTTTTTGTTTCACAGTGAGAGAATCCCAGTAGCAGGAAAACTTAACCTTTGTAGCTCTCAGCCAGGTGAAGATAGGCCCAGATTGATAAGTCTTTATGCGGTTCATCCCTTATGAGGGATACTCGGCTGTAGGTCTTCAACATGAAACTGTCCATAAAGCTAAGACTTTTCATCCTTTTCCTTGCCCTCAACATGTATATAGAATAATATGCTCAACTGTGTTCGATAATTCTTGTTTTCCCTGGTAGGAGTCAGGCAGCAAACCTAAGCCAGGGGACTACTTACTTAACAGGAACAAGGGTAGTAAAAACAATTAGCAAGAGGCGGTGTGCCTGCATGTTAGTTACAAACTTGTACGGTCCTGATTGCAATCTAGTCAGCTTCTAGGACTTTCAGATCCCTTTGTGAGAGCTTGTATCATCTTCTGTTTTTCTAAACAACTGGCTTTCTTATCCCACAGACTCTGGAGGAAAGGATCCATGAATTTCCAGAATTGTGTTTGCATTTATGAGCTTTGTCTCTTCTGAATACAGAAAACTAACAGCAAGAAAACTAGCTAAATCTAGCAGATCACCAAACTAGAATCCTCTGAATCAGTGGCTCCACAGCTGCCAATTAACAATACGTTTACTAAGGAATGAGTTGATATGAACCAATCCTTCCTGTCCTGCATGCTTCCTTGATGGTTCTCTAAGTATGTTCAGGCAGTAAAAATACACCAAAATTGTTGGCTTTACTCTGTGCATTAATTATAATGTGAGGCCTTAATATCTGTCCATCTCGAGATAGTCAACATCCTTGGAAAAGAGTAACCAGGCAGCTATGTTGCTGTGTGCATGTCCTGCTTTATTTGGAGAAGTGGAGAAAGGAAAGTGTTTCAGTTGTCTTATTCCATTGACTTTGTGAGACCTGCACAACAAGATTATGTCCAGTGGGTGTAGTTTTCTTTCAGCAAGTGGAGGATAAGAGCAACTTGGAGGGTTTTGCTTTTTTCTTTATTCCATTTTAATATAATCAGTCTCCATTGATTAGCGGGTTTCTTTGTGGCACAGTGTCACTGCACATGGACCTACAGAAGCAATACATCATGTGTATAATCCTTCTGAAGACCAATCTATAAAAGAAACTTTCTGTTTTCCTTCCAGAACATTCCCTGTCGTGCCATTTCAATGGGTCAGGGCCAGGAGGTCCATGCAAGGCGCCTGTTAAATCAGTGCATGCAAGATGGAGGATGGCTCCTTCTACAGAACTGCCACCTTGGCTTGGAGTTTCTTAGTGAATTGATGGACACCATCGCAACAACAGAATCTGTGAATGAAGGTTTCAGGGCCTGGATCACTACAGAGGCTCACCCAGAGTTTCCTATTAATCTTTTACAGTCCTCTATCAAATTTACTAATGAACCCCCTCAAGGTAAGAAGCCTTGCATTTTTTGAGTTTTGGGACTTGCTTCCCTCCCTCCTGGCCCTGTGTCACTATACTCTGTGTGGTGTTTTACTTTTTATTTTCTTTGTTTCATTAGCTAAATACAGGACTGTGTAAGTCAGTCTTGCGATGTGTAAAGCATGACTCTTTTGAGGAGAAAATGGATATCGTTTGGTTTTGTAACAGGAATTTATTGTTTTAAAATTTATTGTTTTAAAAAACAGGATTTTGTTGTTTGTGTAGAACCTGTGGAGAATGCCAGGTGAGTGGTCCTTTTTTAAGTTTAGTACACTCCACCACTCTTTTCTTTCTGTCCCGTTGACCCCACCCAGGGATGCAAAGTGAGACCAATCCTGTGCTCTAGAGTAATGAAAAGCAAGGACTCTCCTGAACACCCAACCTCCCAAGTAGTGCGTAACTGTCACTGTTGCTTCTTGTTATGTCATCTGGCACTTCTGGCAGGAGCCTGATACCACCATCTTTGTAACTGTCCTTCAAGTATTGGTGAGCTGCTACTGAATTACCCCTTAGCCTCAGTCACAGGCAAGACAGTTAATAACAACCCATAGTGGATCTGAATACCAGGGTTTACCTAAGAACCGATGAGATTAGGGCTTTTATGCTTCTTGCTTATTTTACATGTTCCCTGTCTCATGCTCCCAGCTTCCTGTATTGCATTCATTTAATCCTGAGTTCCCTTCCCACTGGAGAGATCGCTGCTGGTCCAGGAAGGTCAGGCAGAAAGCCATGTGTAGCTTCATGTTGTGCAGCTACTTGCAGCTACAAGTCTTGGACATTACTGGCCCAGGTCCCTGGGTATCCCCTGGCACTTGCCTCTGTGCATCTATGGCCCAGGATCTTTCCCCACTTCCAGGATGGTTCCGCAGTCTAGGATGATCATCTTATGCTTTCTGGGCCTCTAAGCTCCCAGTTTTGGTAACCTAAGTAGTTTATGTGCAGAAGCGCAATGTGTGATCAGTGTACTAATTGGCAGTTCTGACTCATATTTCTGTATTAATTGTGGATTCAGGATGTTTCACTCTTTGCAGCCTGTACCATTCACAGCTAGCAAGTAGCAGGTTTGTCCTTGAAAGTTAAAAATTTCAGTTTTGGACAGCACTGTCCCTCATACATGCACACAATTACCTGCTGCCTTTCAGTATTCACAGTTTAAGCTGGGTTTTGCATACCTCATCCCCCTCTTCAATGGACTAATCAAACTCAGCCTTCTTGTCTTATCTTTGTAGGTCATGCATTCTCAGTACCTGACCACCTTTATTGCCCCATCCAGTTTCTCCACACCTCCCTTGTGTGCCAAAACTGTAAAACATATCCAAAGGGAAGTCTGATCAGTGTTAAGTGGAAAGTGATAAGAACTTCCTTCAATCTACTGGCTGTGCTTCTTCCAAGGTTGCCCACTATCCGAATTGCCTTACCTGCAAGAAGGGTGCAAGTTTGGCTTATAGTCAACATGGCATCTGCAATAATCCTGGAGTGTTTACCGGTAGATCTCAGCTAGCAGACCTCAGTTTGTACAAGAGCATGGGGTTATTGTGCTGCAGATGCAGAACTTTGCAGGATTGAAAGCCACTGATTACTTACTATTATTTGAGCCTAGTAACCAACCTGCTAGGCTTCTACAATAAAATGATAGGTTTAGTGGATGAGGGGAGAGCATAGGGTCTTATTTATCTTGACTTCAGGAAGACTTTTAACACAGCCCCCCAGTACATCCTTATAAACGTGCTGATGGAGTAGGCCTTACAGAAGTGGTCAGTGAGGTGGATGGAAAATTGTGAACTCCCAGACTCTAAGAGTTGTGGACAGCTGCATAAATCCATCAGGAGAACAGTCACTAGTGATGTACCCCAGGGGTCAACACTGGGGTGAGCAGTGGTTGGAATTTTCACTAATGACCTGGATGATGGGACACCCTCAGCAAGTTTGTAGTTCATACAAAGTCAGAAGAGGGGGCTGATACACAAGAAGGTCATGTTGTTCTTTAGTGGGAGTTTCACAGGCTGGAGAAATGGTCTGGCAGGAATCTGCTGAACTTCAGCACAGGGAAATGCCAAGTACTCCCACTGGGGAGAACGAACCTCATGCACTCATACATGATGGGGTCGACCAGCTGTAAAGCAGCTTTGCAGAAAAGGACCTGGGATTCCTGACAGAAATCAAGTGGAACATAAGCCAGCAATACGCCCATGGAACAAAGATGGCCTGCAAAACCCTGAGTGACATTAGGAAGATCATTTCCAGAAGGTTGAGGGAGGTGAATCTTCTCTACTCAGCCATGGTGAGAGTTCATTTGGAGTGGTGTGTCCAGATCAGACCTCCCCAGTGCAAGAAATAGATGGACAGAATGAGTCCAGTGACAGGTCACAAAGATGCTGAAGGTATTGGAGAACGTGACATACAAGGAGAGGCTGAGAGAGCTGTGATTGTTTAACCTTGAGGAGAGAAAGGGTATCTTATCAATGCATATAAATAATGATGGGAGGGAGTAAAGAAAACAATAAAACCTCTCTCAGAGGTGCCAAGTGACAGAAAGAGATGATGGTCACAAATGGAAATTCAGGATATTTCACTTCAGCATCAGAAAAAAACTTCACCCACAGTGAGGGTGGTCAGACACTGGAACAGCTTTCTCAGTGAGTTTATAGACTCCATCCTCAAAACCCAAATGGATAAGGTACTGAGCAACCAGCTCTAGCTGACCCTGCTTTGAGAAGGGGTGTTACGCAAGGTGACCCCAGAGGTCTCTTCCAGCTGCAACTACTTGGTGTTGTTCTTTGTGATATGAAAATATCCAGCTTTTCTAAGTAGCCTCCAACCTCTTGCTGTCCTGTGGCTGAATGTCTCTCTCTATGCTGCTACCTGAAGACGTCCTTCATACACTTATAGAAGTAACTTACTACCCTGCCTTCTACCTACATATTATGTGTGATGAGGGCAGGCTATTTTATATTTTGGACTATGTTAGAAAGAAATCCTCAGGCCTGACACTTATTTTGTCTTTTAACTCTCTCATCTTTCACTAACTGTGTAATGCATTAACTTGCCCTTCATTTATATATGTGTGTTGCCACTGATTTCAGTTAATGAAGTCAGTAGGAGCTGAGAATTTTTATCCAAGGTCGTATTTAACGCCTCAGTCATTTAAACCTCTTATTTCAGTATTCATCTTCCTTTGAACATTAGTAAGAGGTCTACAAAATGCCTGATCTTCTGAAAGACATTCTGTTCCAGTGTATGTACTCCACTCTTGAGAGCAGTTAGTCACTCTGCTGTTAAAATTTTCTTACTTTTTTCTCTTCTCCCCCCTTTTAATTCACTGCTCAGCATCTTTTTATTGGACTGTGACCCCTTCTTATCATTCAAATGATGACATCCTGTAGCTCCAAGAGGTTGTTTTATAGGTCAGGTTACAGCCAATTTACAGTTTTCATTTAGTAATAGAAATATGCCCAGTGTAACAATTTATGTTAGGATGAAATATAAGCATTTTTGTTGCCTGATACTGTCCTGCCACATTGGCAGCACTTTTGTTTGATTACTTTGGATTTGGATCTCGCGTTTGGAACTATCTTATGATACCCTTATTATATTTTGAAAAGCTATTTTTGAAATACTGTTCTACAGGATCTTTGTGAAGTAGGAAAGAAGCAAAAAATCTTATGTCATAGGAAGTATGATTTAGACAATCTATTCATTGCACTTGCAATCTGTCTTTTTAGACTCGTGTTAAGCTGATTAGGTGAAAGATATCGTAAGAGGGACCTGGTGTCAGTCATGCTCGGTGGTGTCTGCCAAAGGCAGATGATGCTTCAGTAATGCTGCCTGAAAGCATCTGGCAGTAGTGGGGCTTAAGTATTCCATGGAAGCTGAGATTGTATCATCTGCCTAAAGCTGTTCCTGGAATTTGAAATGTCAGTGCTCAAACAAACCTCCCCAGGTGTTGTATTTTCACTATGAATTTAGGTTCTCATCTCATCAGCTTGGTACCTGTATGCAAGTTTGAGAAGCTGCATACAAAATTCTGAGATTATTACAGGAATTAAATCTAAAGAAAATTATTTTTGGTAGAACTAAAATCTCATTTTATATGTAAATATGGAAACACAAACTCTTGGATATTCAGTGCTATATTTCATATGACGTTAGGTGTCTTTGATTACCATACAGTTGCTGAATACTTAGGTTTATTTTTCAGTTGTTAATCGTAACCTTCAGAACATGATTACTTCAGTGTAATTCCTTCCAGCTGCTCCTGAACTTAATTTGGTGTGTCATCTACCAGAAACAAAATGTAAGTTTGCCTGCTATGACCAGCTGAACAGATAATTGATTCAAAGAGTTTATTTGAAGCTATGGATAAGATGATACTGGAAATTGGAATAGAGAACTCTGCTTAACAGAAGTTGGAATTATGGGTCACATACATTGTTTTGCTTATATATTACTTTTTTATACTTATTTTCTAGGTGTGAAGGCGGGCTTAAAACGAACATACTCAGCTGTTACTCAGGATCACCTAGAAGTGAGCAACATGCCACAGTGGAAACCATTGCTATATGCTGTGGCATTTCTTCACACAACGGTTCAGGTTTAAAAATATGTTTCTTTTCTTCTGTTATAAAGCCATGTTTCGTTCATTAATGCATCATGTTATTAAATGAAAAGCTTGTTTAAATGGAAATCATGTGTTGGTAAATTAATACAAATAAAATAAGAAAGAAAACAATGGACCTCTATTACTCCAACTGTCTTAAAACTGTGCTCATGTTGATCTTGTGCCTCCAAGAGGGATGGTATTAAAGAGTAAAAAGGGACAGTCAACCAATGATCAATTAGTGTACTCTTCTGTTAGAGTCTTTGGACATAGCTGTGTGATTTGTCTTTCAACTAACTGTTTTTTTTACTAATATTTTAAATCATAAAAGACCACTAAAGAAATTTACAGCTTGGGTTGGAAAACCGTAGTCTTAAAACTGCTACTTTCACAATGAGAGGGCTAAGAGAGTAAATATAAATCTTTTCTGCACCTGTAGGAGGAAATGAAGGTGGAAGATGATTTTGGGTCTTGTCTTTCACAAGTTCCATTAAAGAAAGTGCTTTATGGATTTACCACAACTTTTCATCATTCTATTGATAGATTTTGCAGTATCCTTAGTTTATATTTGATGCCTAGTTAATTTAACTCTGTGGTATCCATGCACTGATACACTCTGGTCCAATGGAAGCCTGTAGTATGCTTATCTTTGGCCCATTGCTTCTTTTGTGGTGGAAATTAAGAATGTTTAAATACCAGATATTGCCCCAACAACCATATACTGCCAGCTGCCTCTGTAATTGACTCAGTAAGAAGCAGCTTTTGTTACTTGCATCTGCACTGTGCAGAGACATCAGTGGTACAAATATACCTACTCCGTAGGAGGCACACAGACAATGATCAAGGTTGATGAGTTTGGACATCCTTTCCTAAAACAGTAGCTGAATTTTTGAAATTCAGGAACTGTATCTGTAGACTCACAGATTTGCTGCACTTGAAGAGAATTTTTTCTTTGTGAAAATGTTAATATTCCTATTCTTTGCTTGTATTTTACCACTGATGATGATAAATAAAGAAATGTTTAACTTCTAGATAATTAATCAAGCATTTGGCCTTAAGTGTGTTAAGAGAAGAATAATTTTTTTAAAGTTGGTGAAATATAACCCCAGCTGGACTACTGCATTCTTAGTATATTTCGTGTACTCTTCAGCACTTAATGTTTTCTTCACAATTACTATCAATCAGCCTTTTACCTTTAACTCTGTCTATTTTACAGGAAAGACGAAAGTTTGGTCCATTGGGCTGGAATATTCCTTATGAATTTAATCAGGCAGACTTCACAGCCAGCGTGCAATTTGTTCAGAATCATTTGGATGATATGGACATAAAGCGTGGAGTGAACTGGAGCTGTGTTCGCTATATGCTTGGAGAAGTACAGTATGGTGGCCGTGTCACTGATGACCTTGACAAAGCCCTGCTGAATACATATGCAAGAGTGTGGTTTGGAGAGCATATGTTTAGTGAAAAATTTTGTTTCTACAAAGATTATGTTATTCCAAAAGGGAAAACAGTTGAAGACTATCTCCAGTACATAGAGCAATTGCCAGTGATTGATACACCTGAGGTAAAATATTTCAAAGTATTAAAGGAAGCTTTTGTCAGATCATTTAATTAGGTATATTTTCCAGAGCAATGAACATATAGGTCACGATTAGCAGGCTGACCACTATAGTGGGTATCCAGCATAGATCTGCTAGAAAGAGGTAGATGAGGCCTTTTGCAAACAGTTGGAAGAACTTTCACATTCATAGGCCCTGGTCCTCATGAGGGACTTTAACGACCTTAATTATCTGCTGGAAGGGTGATACAGCAGAGTTCAAGCAGCCCACAAAATTTGAGTGCATTAATGACAAGTTCCTGGCACAGTGTTGCGAGTCTGCGTGGGACTGAGCAGACGTGAACTGAGAAATAATGAAAACAAAAAAGCCATATGGTCTCATTCTGCAAGTTATAATTGGGAGATTATTCCATTTTGACAATAGGAAGATCTGGATGTTGCCTTGAATTGATGGGGTAGGGTATGCAGGGTAGCTCCTGGTTGCCACCACTGTTACATGACAGTGTGTGTATACTGCAGTGGTCACGTTAACTGGAGCACTGCATCTTTCTGCTCCCTCTAGTACAGGCACTTGTGACGAAGTTGGTTAAAAATGAGACAGAAGTGAATGCTCTGGATTTCTGTCTCATTGCTGTTGACTTGATAAATGCCTTTGAAGGTAAGTTCTACTAAAATTAAATAGGCAGGACTGAGCAGAAAAAAATGGTTTTCTGTTACCAATAATGTGCTGGCTAAGCGAGGGAGAAGATTCCAAGGTCATAAAATAAATTTGAAAAGTTTTGCATCTCTGAAGGTAGTAAAAGCAGAATGCAAAGGGTATTTGTGCTGGCAACGATGCACCTTTTCCAAGTGAGGGTAAATGCAGCCATGGTAATGCACTAGTGGGATTCATTTGAACCCAGCTCATGAAATGGCTCCTATCAGTGTAAGAACTTTGACTTTATCAGATTTCAGGTGCTGCTTTCATGGATCTGCTTTTCTAAGCCCTTGGGAACCTATCTCACAATGCTGAAATGTATTTTAAAAGTATTTTAAAAAAATCTGTATTTATGGTTTGATGTAGGGGAATTTTACCTTTGACTTTTATGTAAATAGGATCAAATCCAGAAATGCAAACAGCTTTTTTCTCCTTCACATTTTCACGGGTTAGGAAGAAAGCTATGGCTTTCTTCTGTAATTCCAAAACCTGTCAAAATTGCTCATGGAAACCTTTAACCTTTTGAGCTCCCAGTCGTCTTTGTTCCGCAAGGGATATTGTGCTTGTCAAAACAGTGTATCTTTGTTTCCTCCTCTTTCCATTTTTGGTTAAGAAAGAAAGACTGAATAAGTCTGATTGCTGTACCCTCACTCTTTTGATGAAATTTCAACCTCTGATCAGAATAAATACTGACTTCTGAAGAGGGCTATTGAACTCAGCAATCCCTTTGAAAATTACTTTGATTTCAGAGGGGTGTAGAACTTTAGCAATTGGATTTGAGGATTTATCAGGCTAAAAAACCCCTGAAAGACAGAATCCAACACCCCATTTTTAATCAAAATTCCCAAAGATATTGGATCAAAAAGAATAAGAAATTTGGCTGCTTGATTAATTTACAGGATATCCAAGACGCTGGTCCACCCATTGCTTTACAACTCTGGTTTCTTTATTCTTATTCATTCATATACCACTTGCATAAAAATATAGGACCAGAGTCATCTCCCATCTAACATCCCTTTGGCACTGTTACACCAATTATGAAGTCATCCCTTGTACTAGTACTACAATTTACATTCACAACAGCAGATATTTTTCATGTTTCTAACTTGGGCTATAGCATTGCCACAAAATCTGCTAGAGCAAAAACTAACAAAGCAACCCTTATTATGCAAGAGGAAAAGCAGAGTAGATTGTATCTTCAAGTGTGTATTTTGTTTGATGATAAATAAAGTGTATTGATATCTTCGCTTTTTACAGCTCTAAATTTTCAGGCTGAATAAACAGTGATGTGTGAAACATGTTAAATCCTACTTGGAACTTAATTCTGTACTAGTTATAGTCACACCTTCTCTCACACACAGTGTTAGGTCTGTACTGTGTTCTTTGTGCTGTTGGAAGAATCACATCCACAGCTGATGTAAATCAGTGCAGCTATGCTGGCTTTGACACAGATGCAGACACTTACATCCCTTGTCTCTGAGTTTCTGGATTTGCAAGTCTAACAATATTACATTATCTGTTCTCAGAGTATGTGAGTATTGGTTACTAGAAGTGTCTTCTTGTAATACACCAAATCCTAATGTAAAATATGAAAACATGAAAAATGAGAAATAGAAGATTGCGTGGCTTTGGTGCTCTGTTTGAGGGCAAGCCTTCCTCATTGTTGGATCAGTGGTTCGAAGTTTGTAGGAGATAGTTAGTAGCTATAATTGAGCGAGGGCTTGTGAAATAAGTCACACTACAATTCCTCCTGGAGAAGAGTTGCAGTTGTCAACCTGACAGTTAGAGACTTACTGATATTTCAGCAGAAGTTTCTGAGAAAGCTATTATCATTCAGACAAAGGGCAGCTTTGTAATTCTGTGCTAGCTGTGTCTTAAATAAAATAATTCAATTTCAGAAGAAGGGGAAGTAAGGAGCGGGAGACCTAAACTAAAAATAGCTAAACCATAAAATATACTGAATATATCACCAGTCATAAAATCTTTAGGTACTTCGAATATGGGCAGTGTTACATTCACTGTGCTGCATGCTTTATAAGCCTAAGAGGCAGAGTAAAACTAAATAAGTAAGAAATGGTAACTGGTGTGAATATGAGGGGCATCTACTTGGGCTAGTACAAGAGCAATAGATCTGTAGAGGCAAAGAGCTAGTGGTGAAGTGTCAGTGTCCACATATGACAGGTTTCTAACAAGCTCTAGTCTGAGCCAGTGGAAAGGAATCAGCTTGTACCCGCTGATAGCACACCACAGCATGATCCAAAGCCTGCTATGTGAAGATAATCAGATCAGTTGAAAAACACCCACTCATATGAATGAAAACACTACTGTGTATGCAGCCTATCTCAATGTTTTTGTATAATTTGGGCTTGGTCCTTGGCCGGTTAAATGGGTATACTTCCACTGACCTATTCATATCTATTTCTTATAGACTGAGGATTTTTTTCCTTGTTTATCCATTTTCGTAGATTCTTTCATTGATACAATTCTAGAAGGAAAAATTGTGTGTTTTTTTTCTATTTTTTTCCTTTTTACTTTAAGGTATTTGGACTTCACCCTAATGCAGATATAATTTACCAGACTAACCTGGCTAATGAGACATTAAGTACAATAGTGAGCATCCAGCCCAAAGACAGCAGCACTGGAGGAGGGGAAGCCCGAGAAGCAGTGGTGCAGCGTCTTGCTGATGAGATGCTAGAGAAGTTACCTCCAGATTATAATCCTCATGAGGTATATGTTGCCTTATAGATACAGATGTTTTATGTGTGTATGTAAGTGTATGTTTTATGAGTTTTATTCTGCTTCTTAAATTTATCTGACACGTGTTTAAAAAAGCTCTTAAAATGATGCATAGTCTGTTTTGGTTTATAATCTAAAATATTCCTACATTGGAAACATTTATTTGAAATGCCATAGTCCACTTCATTAGTCACCTTAACTCAGAAAAGCCATTAGAGACTTCAGAAAGTTCTTGCCCTCCTTAGCAGAGAGTACCTTTAGTACGCTAGTGCCTCTTTCTTTCTGAAGCATCAGTGATCTTATAGTAGTTACAGCTTTCAGTTTATCTACTCTTATTATGATACCACCATTATGAGTAATGGATTTTATCACTGACCTTTTCATGCCCCAGATTTTTTGCAGTTTGATTCTTAACAGATATATTTGTCAATCTTTTCTTGCATTTTTAATTAACAGTCTAATTAAATGGAAAAATCCAGCATAAAGCACTCTTGCATCAGTTTGTGAGTAGCATCTGGTGTCTTGCCATGTGTTTGATGAACCCTAACTGTTGCAAACCCCTCATTTCCATGATTTTAGTATTTACAGTTCTGGTTTGCACTGATAGTGATTTTTTTCCCCTGGTTGCAATCCAAGCTTGTAAAGTGTCCAGTATGCAGAATTGCAACTCATTATGTTATATTTTATTTTCTCCTCTGGCCAACTTAGAATGTCCTCTTATGTTACAACCAATAGTCTTGGGGCCCTGGCAATATTTCCTGTTTTCTGTTCTACAATCAATCTCAGATTTAATATGTCTTTCTTTTACAAATAGCCTCTTCTGTGCTGTCATAATTCAACTCAGACTTCTCCTTTCATTCCCTTCTTGGCAAGCTACTTACGATGTGCAACTTTTTTTAGTGAGGTTTCCTAACATCTTTCTCCATATAGTTACTTTTCCATCCACCCATGCTTTTGTGTCTCAATTTTTTGTCACCTGCATATTGAGTGATTCCCAGTGATAGTGTATAAATCCTTTGTTTGTAGAATTTGATTTGGAGTAGAGTCAGTTTTCTGGTTTTCACGTTATTATTTAATAGTAAATAAATATAATAAAGAGCAAATAAAATGAAATACAGTATGTATACTATTTAATAACACTTAATTACTAATTTAATAATTTTATCATTTACACCTTGGATCTACACCTATAATCTACACCTTGGATTGTTCTCAGTCCTGTTCCCTTATCCTTCCTGTCAGGGTAAAGGTTTTCTCATGGAACTAGTTTCTTCCAGCTTTATTCAGCTCCGTAGGTGGTTTGTTTTTGTTGGTTTGTTTTTTGTTTTTGTTTTGGTTTTTTTTTTCCAGTTTGCAATAGCAACAGAATACTGGATGCCTGGGTAGCATATATGGTTTTGCCATATTTGTAATATGTATAGTGAGCTAATTTTTCTTCCATGTACTTGATAAATCCTCCGATGGTGTATTTCTTCATTCCTTTGTTAAACTGCCAACTCTTTTCCTCCTGAAGAATTCGTAATACTTAGAAGACATCAATAGTGCTGGACTTTATATTGTAACTAGGGGGTATTCTTGCCCTTAGGTTTTACCCCTGGGAAGTTTGTTCAGTGCCTTTTAGGGCTCTAAAATTCTAACATGCTTATTTAATCCAAATCTCACTTCTAAATTGTTTGAACAAATACTGTTTTTCTCTGGCATTTCTTCTGTTTAATCTTGGTGTCATTCACTGCCATTCCTTCTTGGTGTATTTACTCAGGTTATCTTCAAAAACTACACACAGAGTAGGCCTCAACTTTTTCAGTCACTTCCTTGAATGTCTTAGCTTTGAAGACAACCAGTTATGGAGCCATGAGCTGTAATTAAGGACAAAGATCCTGAAGGGTTTATTTTGAAAGTTCTACCCTGCACTCTTGTCTGTTTTACTACTAGTATGGGTACAATACATATTTTTCCATGTGACTATAAAAAAATCACCACCAATTATTTTCATTGCTGTTTCACTCTCATCATCCAGTGGTATGACAAGCTATTCTCTTCTTATGATCTGTCAATCATAGATGCAGGTTTTCATTTTCTTATAAGCAATCATCTTTATAATGATACTCAAATTAGATAGAATTGCTTCTGTACCACTTCTCTGACATCTTCTCTGAGCTTCAAGGAAACCTCTTTTGTTTCAACTTGCTTGACAGCTGTTCTCTCATGAATCACATAAGGAGAATCAGGTTTGTACAGGACAAATGCATATTAGGTATTAATACTTTAGCATCAGCTTTCTCCCCTCACTTTGTTCTTACAGGCACAGTCAGAAGATGTCCTGTTGGATCTACTTTTCACCCCTGTATCTCTTGTAAAAGAATTCTGAGCTCAGAATGTTCATCCTCCTATCAATAAGTCTATATACCAGCTCTTCCTGGTGATTTCTAGTTTTCTCAGGCTCTGTACATCTTGATCTGTCAAATGCATTTCTTTTTGATTAATCACACCACTTCATTTACATGCTGTTTCTTGAGTCCACATTACTAATGGATGACAAGGTATTTTTCCACTGAACCAGCCAAAAATTACACTTTGTTTTTGTATCATGGTAGTCATTCCTTTGCTCTGAGTATCTACAGAACATCCTATGGTCATTTTCCAACAGTTTATTGTTGGTAATAATGTGTTCCTCTGTGCATATCTTTGACCATGTCATCTGCACTACAGCTTCAGATACTACTTCTACACTATTATCAGATTTGACATTATTTCCTGCAGTTCCTGATTCTTCAGTATTTCCTTCTTCATTCTGTCTAATGGATTTACCCCTTCTCTCTTCTCTAGATCTTAGAACTCGTTTGGATCTTTACCAATACTTTCTTTGTCAAAGTGGAATTTCCCTTTTCTCCCATTAGTGCCCAGTTCCACCTCTGCTGCAGTTGTTTATGGTTCCAGGAGTGTGGCAATCTCTACATAATAAGCAAAAGTTATGTATCAAATGTATTTCTTATCTGAACTGAAGCTCTGGAGCCTCTTAGAAAGGATGGAGAGGGCAGGAGTAAACTGTAAGGAAAGCAGAACTTTTAAATGAAAGTTTGCATAAACTTGTTAAAAAAAAGAATGTCTAAAATACGGGGGAAAAAAAAAAAGTTCACTGACATATAGCCATGAGGTTCATTAGAAGTTTAGATGTTCTCTGAGGGAAGACACAACAGAATTTAACAGAAGCTATAATACAATAAGCAAATGAAATTAAGCTTGTGAGTATAAGGAGTGAAATGGATTTTGTAATTACTTCCTGTGATGTCTGAAAAAAAGGGAATAAGTTCTGTTGTTTGTCAATTTAAGCCAACATTTGGTCATTCGGGACATTATTACCTGTATTCAGAACCTTATTACCTACTTGATCAGTTTAACAATCCTGAAACAAATAAAACTAATATACTAAATTGTAAGAGACTGGGAGAATGTGTCAGAAAGAGTTCCTATGCATGCCTCATTGGGTAAGAGCACTAAAAAGAAAACCATTCATTAGTCCTAGCAGTGCAGCTTGGGTTTGCTTTTAGAATAGTGTGCTCCAGTGAGGCCATGACGTGGTAGTCTTTGGAAACCCAGTTACAAAGATACTATCAGTGGAGAAAAGGAACAAAAAATAAGTAAACAAATGAAGTAATGAAAAGCAAATACTCTTCAGGGAAAGTGGCGGGTGCCTTTGCTGTCTTTGATCAGTTCTTGTGGCTCCCTTTAGAAAGTGTGGAGTGAATTTGATTGGAGTTAAAACCCCAACAGGCAAGGTTAGGGGTGGATGGTACTGAAACCCATTATGCTGACGTTCAGAGCTCCAGATTGTACGTGATACATTGTGAATCCAGAGAAACTTCAGGCCATCACACAGTGGGCTTTAGTTCTCAATTATTAGCCTTTGGCAATGACTTTGAAACCAACAACTTTCAAAATCAGGCAACTGTTTTACCCCGTGATATGTGCTATTTCTTTTGCTGTGGTGTTCTTTGTAAAGCTTCCTCTCACCACTCGAAGAACTGACTGTGTCCACCCAAAAGACTATAAACGATACAAGCCACCTTTGCATGCTTCATCAGTCAGCATTTTGACACAGGTGATGGAAAAGCAAAATAAACCTTACTCCTGACCTGAAACTGTCTTCATTTGTCTCACTCCAAAGGCAGAGGCAGAGTTCTTTTGTGTCTGGGTCTTGCCTCACAGGTAACAGAGAGACTTGTGGTAAAATGATTGGGTCCACTCAGTCCATGTGAGAGGAGATAGATGCAAGATTAAATGTCAGCCTGTCACACACAGAGTTTTATAATGAAAATGACCTAGCAGTTTGAAAAACAGCTTGCTAGAGAATAGTCATGGAGACATTCCAGAGATACTACGCCTTATTGGAGGTTGGCTTTTAACCCAAGTAGCAAAGATATTTTCCTTAAATATTTTTTGTAGTACTGTTTTGTCTTATCCTCTCCTAAGGCCATGACTACATTAGCAAGGATTGCATGGGAACAGGAGTTCATCTAAGGGCTCCAGGCCTGCATTACATGTGTTATTGGGGAATTTACTTTAGTCTAACTCTTGTCTGGGCCTGCAGGCTGAACACCCATTAGTGGTTGGAGTATGTTAGACTCCCTGAGGCATATCTTTTGGGTTAATTTAATTTGAAGCTAAGCCAGTTTGTATGCCTGGAGTCTAATTTTAACTGTAGGGTTTTTGCTACCACCACCAACAACAACAAAAATTGGTGGCCTGAACTGGAAAACTAATTTAGATGCTTTGTAAGGTGTCTGGTTTACTTACCGACCCTATCAGATACGGTGGTCACCCAACTCTAGAGCTTCAGCTATTTTCTACATATTTCACTGCCTGCTTCCTTGTATATACAGGGAAGTGTTCCTTAACACCACTTGAAAATAGCTTTGTCTTGGACACGCCTTGAGCTTGTCTTTCTTAATCAGGCCTCTTATTTAGACGAGCTCACGGGATGATGGGACTTTCCATTTCTGCAGACAAAAGGTATAGCAAGTAGGCAAGTCTAATTGAAAATGATAGCATTTACTGAAAATGATTGGCAGTTACTACTACAGCAACTTGGTCACTGATCATTTCATGGCATGAGTTTGGCAACTTCTTTTCTGCTGAATGTCCTATAAAGTATGTGGTGACAAAGGAGTTGGTGACCTGGGGACAGCTAAGAAATATGCATAGAGGATTCTGACACAGTAGGGATATGCATTGCAAAATCATGTAGGGAATTATTATTTTAGTTGCTCCTTTCTTAAATCACCTTGTTTTATGTTAGATGACAGCTGTTTGCATAATGAAAAGGAGGTATTGTAAGTGGGCTTTATGGAATTAGCACATTAATCTCAGAAAGGCTATTTTGGTTAGTGAGTTTTGTCTTTAGAGGGTTTTTTTCTGTCAGTTGGGATCCATCTCTTCATGTCATAACAAATACAGCACTGGAAGTAAGTAATCTGATTGCTTGATAAGAATTCTAATACAAAATCAGTCAGTCATACCTCATAGCTGATATTTAAGACTGATCTTAACAGCAAAATTTCCAAGGCACTGTGTCGCACCTAGTAAATCTCACTGCAGATCAGGATTGATTTGTGTAATTTTTTTCAGTTTTCATATCTGGTTATGCTTGGTGCTCCAGGCTGAGGTCTGGGAACATCTCTAGGATGGATTAATAAATTTCTGCATTACTGGTCCACTCCATTATTCAAGGTATTACAGGTATTTTTGTAGGTTCATGAAAACATATCAGGAGAATGTTTAAATTCTGATAATTCATTAATTAAAAAAATGGTGTGATTAACAGTACAGTAATATTTTGGAGTATTTGTTTAATCTTCTCTTTGTAGATTAATAAATATCAATATTTTGGAAAATAACCCTTTTAACAGCATCTTCCACAGAATTTTTCCTCAAGTGGAAGAAATTGTTCCTCTAAATGTTTCCTGAAACGAACACAGGCTTTGTACACTAGAAAAAGGTTGTATTTCTTATTTAAAGGATAACATGCAAGGACTATATTATGTATAATTCCTTTCTTATTAGTGGCATGTGCCAGACTTCTAAGTATTCTGGGGAAAAAATCAAACTCTTTTTTTGCTTTTTTGGCAAGAGGGAGAATTATCAGTCCCTGTGACATTTTCAGAAAACAGAAGCTTTCTCTGGATTTTGTATGAAAAAGGTCAGAATACTTCATTGTGTAAATTATCCAAAAAGAATTTATTTTCTCAGCTCTTGTCTCATAATAGCTGATTTTAATTTTTTTTTTCTCTTCTACAGGAAGAAACACATTAACTCAGTCTGTAAAATGAACGTGCACACTGCAAAGCATTAGCATAATTGGCTAGCACCTATTTCTTGGACATTCTGTCTGATAAACTCATGGGTCCTTGTGATTAAAATAGGATGAATAACCTTCCTGATAGCTGTCTCCCAAGGAGAATAGCATATAAAGTTAAAAAGAGTATTTTATTGGGCTTGGATTTGAAACTTGAGAATTGGAAATTGTCGAAGCATGTACTCATTTATACTAGCAATTATACTACTCAGCTGCTATATTATATTCATCATGCATAAACTTGCTATTCAGTGTACTAATAAGATCTTTGTTAATGTTTAGTATGTATATATAATGTATAGTGTACATAATAATTTATACAATGAGATATATGAGTATATCTGTAAAAACACAAAGCAAAAGCCAGTGGACTTCTGGCCTTGATGAAATAGCACACATTATACCAAATCTTGTGGTTTCTACTTAGCTACAGTAGAATTCCAATGATATTCTGCTCTTTGAAAGGATAGACTTTCTAACTCTCCCTTCATCTCTTGTTAGTAAGCACAAATGAGCGCTTAAATTATTTTAGCAAACTGATCCTCTGGGTCAGCTTTTTTATGGTAAATTAATGGCCATATAGGTATCTGAATTTGGGATCTTATTTTACTGTTTGAGTCCTCTTTTTGGTTGCAGAGTCCCCTTGCAGAGTTTCACCTGCAGAGGGATGGAGTGGCTATGGCAAAGATCAGGCTTCAGGCTGCTTCAGTGTGAAGGTTGAAGTGAATACAGAGGGGCGAGCATTGGCTTTCTGAAAGCTGAGTCGTAGTGGGCGAAAACCACTTGGGAGTCTTAAAAATCAAGAATTCTGGCATTATGTGAGGCATAGGCATCATGATTGCTGCAGACGCGACTACATCCTCGCTCATGCACTGTGGTATACAGTGATCTTTGATGTACACGGAACACACAGTGTATGTCTGAAGCAAACTGTACATGCATCATCTGCTGAAGTGAGGCAGGGAATGCTTTTGCTACTGCTACAGTGACATGTCCTTCAGTAACATAGACAACTAACTCCATTTTGAAAATCTGTTGAATATAAGCGAAACTGTTATCCTTAAAAATTAAGATGCCAAAAGCTTCCACCTCCTAAATAGTGTGCATAATGGTGTAACAGAATTCTGTGGCATTTTTGTTATTCCTGGTAATCTTGCCTCCCTAGTAATGCATCCATGAGCACCTTGTCTTATGAGTGAGTCACGTGCTATTGGAAATACCAGCTTTTATATATCATTGCGCTTGTTAAGTTCAACTCCATTTGTAGCATTATTTCAGCTCATCAGGGCAAGAAGAGGTGAAAAAGTTCACCCAGAACAATTTGGAAGTATGAAGAAGTTACCATCAAACTGTCGGTTGCTTTTTCTTTAAGATCTAAGACCCCTATCTAGGACAGAAGGGACTGCTGTGTCCCTTCAAAAAGAGGGAACTTTCCCTCCTTATAATGACGAGGAGCTCCTTTTGGTAAGCTAATGAGTCACAGTGTGCTAGATCTTACAGTTGGCACCGGACTTGCACGGCCATCTGTTACATAAAAGTTTATTTTCTCAGGAATTATGCAATACAATTGAAAAAAACCACCCTTTTACTGTCAAAAATTATTGCATGGGAAACAGGAGATTACATTTTATAATCGTTGCACTATTCCTGTTTAGGTGAAAGCCCAGCTTCAAAAGATGGGAGCTCTTCAACCCCTCAACATATTTCTCCGTCAGGAAATTGACCGCATGCAACATGTTATATCAAGAGTTCGAACTACACTGACTGATCTCAAATTGGCTATCGATGGTAAGTTACAATATTAAAAATCATACTAAGTAAGGTGCAATATTTACTACTAATGGTTGCTTATACTATATAACTAAAAAAATATTTCCCCTCCTTTCCTCCCTTTCTACCTCTTTTTCTTTTGTTCTCTCCCTCCCTTTATCTCTCTATCACATGACCACTAGTTCTAGCCCTTAAAACCTCCTGACTGCATCTCTAAGGACACTCCACCTTAATTTATTCTGCGTGCATGTGCTCCAGTATTGCAGTTCATCTCCCACAGCACTACTACACTCTGTGATTCTCTCTAGGATCGCTACAGAGCTCAGAGGAGACGAATTGCATGATTAGGTCCACAGGTCGTGTGCCAGAGTCATTTATGAAATTAAGCTGAGACGTAATGATATAGAACAAGGTAGAAGTGTTGCTGCTGTGTAACTGAGAGACAGGGTACTCAGTAGGCCAGGTGGTTAAAATGCTAATTTAAGGTGAGATTCGGACTCTTTGTGAAACTGGTTATACCAAATAGGATGACTCTGAATGGAAGCTAAAGTGGGTGGAAGTGACAGTCAAAAGAGAATGATAGGGTTCTGCTTTTAGCCATCACAGAAGGTAAGCAACAGCACTCTCTGTATCTCAGAGTCAAGAGTATTTGGCTGAATGTGAGCAATGGTGAATGTAGTTAAAATAAACCAAGACTACAGGCAACTAGAAGCAGATGGAAAATTTCATCAGAAAAGAAGTGAGGAAAAAGAAGGGATGATGATGTTACCATCTGTTTTTTGCTTTCACATCCCATTTTGCTCATCTGCAAGAGTTGAAATATCCAGGAGGGAAAGTATACTGTTGCTCAGCCAAGCTTCTTGAATTAACAATAAATGAAAATTAAGCAGTAACTGTTCAGTTCCCCTAGTTAAGATCTCACTCAAGTTGCTGTTCTACAGCAGAGAGGCAGAAAATATCTGAGACAGCAAACTGTCTGCACAGGGAGATGGTCAGAGTGCCTCAAAACTAGTTCCTTCTGATACAGGTGATGGCAGTACTGTGATGTGTCTTACTGGGGTTATCCACTCTTTCGACAAGAAGTCTTTCACGAATGGAGATTTTTTTATTTGTATTTTTGTTACATAAGAATAAAAAGGGATTTCGCCTACTATTTGTATGATTCACTGAGGCAACAATGCATGTTTCAAAAACACCATGCCTGTAACCTGATTCTAGAAAAGCAATTCATAAATGTGCCCAGGGGTAATTAGCTTCCACACCCTGCAATACCCTATGCAAAGATCAAGCTAGAAGAAACAATTGTCCTCTGTTCCTGTACTGAGCTGAAAGTTCCCTTTTATATGTGCATAGAGTCCTTTTTCAAGTAAATTAAAATAATGCTTTCCATCCAAGAAAGTATTAATCTTTCCTTGATTGTGACAGGTATATTTAAAGTCTCAAAAGGCACAATATTCTGCAGAGGGTTGGATGAGTAACATAATTTATTTGCACTTAGTATTCAGTTCCACAGTGGGCACAGTCCTCTACCAGGTGTTTAATCAAGTTAATGCTGAAACTTTTGTGCATTCCTCTAAAACATTATAATTTTCTTAGGGACAGGCAAGTTAAATATAGTGAAAAATTGCTCTGAAAACAAAATTGGATGTATGGTTAACAATAATGATTAATGGCTTCTGGCAAATTCATGATACATCAAGTGCATGTGGTAGACCGTTAATTAGGGGATGGAAGGAACATTTAGGCACTGTCTCTTGCCTCAGCAAAGAGGAAAACCCCAAACTCTCTCATACTAGATTCTCCCCAAAACTAGTCAACTCCAGTCTCAGATCACCTGAGGTGCCCCTTTTTCCTTACATTGAGGTAAACTGATTGGCCAGCTCAAACAGGTTATCTGAGTTTTGACAGCTGCCCTCTCGTGCATCTGGCTCTGGCTTCGTGAACACGTTAAGGCTGGACCACCCAGTTATAACAGATCTAAGTTTCCAAACAGACGTTGTATTTAAGAATATAGCACATCTTCATGTTGTGCCAGGTAGCTTTGTGAAAGGAGGTCTGAATATTTGATTCTGCAGTTTGGATGTGAATAGACAGACCTTGTCATTTTGCTGTTGCTCATTGATTTATATTTGAGGCAATATAAAGCCCTCCTCAGTGAGATCCCATGTGCAGCTGAACAAGAGGGATATTGAGGGAATTAGCAGAGCCAATTTTGTCCCTCTGTCCAGAGGGCACATTAAGCAGTGTTCAGCTTTTGGGAGGGGTGAGGATGCCCAGCATGTGTCCAACATGTTTGTTGGCAGCCATGCCCCACAAGCCTGCATCGCCATCAATAAACTTTGCTGCCTGGAGGGATACTTTTTTTGGATCAAATTGTAATAATTAGATTGTAGCTGCACTTTGTACCCTTCGTTATGTCCCAATCATTAGTTCTAGTTTAATTACTTATTGATTGCCCGGAATTTATTTCACAGCTGGTATAGTACAGAGCTTCACATAAATCAGAAAACTGCAGTGATGATTGTCCTCTCGGGTGACCTAAATAAAGGCTGTGTTCCAAATAGAGAAATCTTTTTAGAGACAAGGAACGATCTGTTTTCTCTCCTTCTCATCTGAGAATCAGTAAGACATGGGTCTTCAACCAAAACTCCAGATCCTGATGGGTTATGAACATCAGATCTTGAGTCCCTGGCAGAAGGTGGCCATATTCTTTGTAGGGCAGTATATGTACTATAGAGCTCCTGTGTATGTGCCTTATCCTTCCTGTGGAATCATAGATACCCCTGGTGCAGAAGACTAAGACCCTAGCTGTTTGCTGGGGAGCGGGTACTTCAAAACCCCTCTCCCGTTAATTAAGATACTGCCTTCAAACGCAGTAAAATCTAATGGCCCATTCAGCTATTCCCAGTCTCTTAGAGTTTGCTTGAGTAGAGGGGAACTGAACGCGGTGTATCTGTGAGGCGTGGGGTTCTCATTTCTCTGTGCACTGAAGTAGGAGGGGTAAGCGTTTTGATGGCACCCTGATGTGTCTTCTACCAGTGAAGAAAGTGAGAAGAGAGATCCTGTGGGAGTTATTCCTAGTCCCCCTTGGATGACTTCCCTGAATCTCTGCACGGGAGCATGCTTGTAGTAATACTATAAGTGGATATTGAATCCTTGGCAATGGAAATAAGCAGAGCTTTTAACTTGGTTGTTTTTCCTGACTTTTTTAACCTACTTAACATTCTGTTTAAGGGCTTGTCATGAAAGAAACAAATGCTTAAGTCATTTATTTATATCTACATTCTACTTTGGTCATAAAACTGCATCCACTTGGCATTTGTTTCTGGTACTCTATGGCTTTGTGTTTTGAAACTAATCCTTTGGAACTGTCTACTTTATGAACACGTGAAGGCCATACAGGAAACCTTGGGTTTGTTATCCTTTCATGATCACAGAACTCCTGCTGCTATTTGTGCAGTACTTGCAGACTCAGGAGAGAGAAGTCCTTTTCCTGTTAACATATTTCCTGAGAATATAGCAATCCCTCTAAAAAATTTCACATGACTTTTAGTGTGTAGAGATTTTTCTCCACAGGCACAGAGTTTTTGTTCCTTATGTTTTTCTTGGTACTTGCAAGACAAGCACAGTGCAAATACCTACAGGAGCCATAAGACCAACATAACGCAAAGAAGCGGTATGAATACAAATCACTTCAGAAGGCATCATGGCATTTGTCATGGAGAAGCTCTACCAGGCTTAAGCAAATTTTCCACTGCAGCTACAATATGGCACCCCTCGTGTGACAAAGCTAGCATATTTTCATCTATGTAATGCACACCTGTGCTGGTTTTAGTCAGGAAAGAGTTAACCTTCTTCACAGTGGCTGGTATGCAGCTGTGCTCCTGGATTTATGCTGAGAAAAGTACAGATAAGGTGTCCTTTTAGCTGGTGCTGGCGAGTGCTTGCACCAAATTCAAGTTCTTTCTCATCTTCTGATACTGTAGGTGTATTCCCAACTTTGTCACTACAAGTAGTGTGGGGCGACACACAGTTCAGGCAGCTGACCCAAACTGACCAAAGGAGTATTTCATTCCATAGCACATCATGCTCAGTTCATAAGCGGGGAGTGGGCTCGGGAGGGAAAATTCTTTTTCCTCCTTTGCTAACTCCTCTGTTAGCTCCTTAACTCCTTTGCTAACTCTTTTGCTAATTCCTTTTCTTGCTCATTCGTTCCTGAGTTAGAGGGTTGGTTGCCTTTCCAGCTTGTGCTGTCGCTCGTGGGGCTCG